CTTATCATGTATATAATCAAAATAATATAAAAGTTTTTTTTGTGTGTGATGCATTGTGCTACAGAGAATATTTTTAGTTTCAAAACTTGAAAATATTCTTTGATATTTACAGAACTATTTTATGCCATATTTTATCTAATCTCTAATTGCTTATTTCCTAAAACAGAAGACAGAAACAAAAAGATGCAACTGATAAAAGCTACCAGCCTATTTTGTTTTATACACTACCAGTTAAGTAAGGAAATATAATCAAATGCAGAGCTAAAGGGTCAAAAGCTCTTGCGATATTAAGCACTGTCTTTTCTATTCGAAATTTTTTAAAGGTGACTGTCACACACATACTTAATAACAACAGACACTGGCTACAAGTGACTCCATCACTTTGAACAGCTGACCTTGACTAAAATTGCCTGCTATGTGTACAATGTGCTGGATTTTGAATTCAGGTAGTGATTGTTATAGAATACAAATATGCCCCCAAAAGTCACTTTTGAGGTTTGTTTGTTTCTTAAACAGAAGAAAGTTGAAGTGCTGAAGTGAATACGTTTTTATCATGTTAAATGAGAGAGAGAGTAGACTGGGTCTTATCCTCTGAAATTTTCATACTGCTTTTCCCGGAACCCTAAAGTGTTTCAGAGGCTCTATACATCACTAAAGGGTCAAATCCAAAGAAACCACATAGGCACGTGGTTCACTAATCTATTCCTGAAGCTTTGCCTAAAAAGTTGGCGCTGCCATCTTCCACATCTTTCTTTCGGAACCATGGTTTGGAATTTGTTCCTTGCTGTTGGTAAGCATCCAGAAAATGACAGATTCCAGGAATTTCACTGGGGAAGTTTGGTGGAAGCTCTTCCCTTGATCGCGGGGTAAACACAAACCCAGGACAGTCTTTGAGTAATCTGAAAAGATTAAAATAAAACAACAGCTTTAGACTGACATAAGGATTTGACAGTTCAGAAAAGACAGCTAAATTAAAGAACTATTAGTACACAAGCTCTATTAGGTGTGACTGACAGAAAGATTCCCATGTTAATAGATATCTCCACACACATACACAAAAATACAATCAAGAATCAAATTCACATTGAGAATTCTACTCACATGTATTTCACTCGTATTAGAAAAGAAGAATTATACAATATTTTTGTGATGATTTATATATCAATGCAATTCACAAACACAAAATTACCCAAAGATCTAATAACAAATACACACACACAATTTTAATGCTACTGAATTATATTTCCTAAATTGAAAATGATAAGTTATTATCTGTTTGTCAGTTTATTAATTAATTGCATAAATGCTACTGAGAAGAAATCATGAGCAAGATGTTGTGGAAGAAAAGTAAACTGACAAAAAACAATGTGAAAACAACTTTTTGATATTTTAAGTATAATTTTTATTAATTTCAGATTAGTAGAAATCAAATGAGCTGCTTTTATGGGAGATGGGAAAAGGGTTGTTTGAGACAGTATCTCATGTAGCCCAGGTTGGCCTCAAACTCTCTTTATATCGCAGGATAAATTCAAACTTGTGATCCTCCCACCTCCACCTTTCAAGTGGGGGGGAATAAGGCATGCACCACCATTACTGGTTTATGTGGTACTGGGAACTGAACCCAGGGCATCATGCATGCTGGCAAGCACTCTATCAACTGAACTCTTCAGCCGACAAATGAGCTTTCATTGTTCATATTAAGATTCCACTTACTATTTATTATGTATTTGCAACATTTTATCTTCTTAAAATCACCTGCTTTGCTAAGTTTTCTCATTTGTTACTTAGTATTTGTCCACTGCCCATTTTAATTTGAATCTTATTGATAAAATTGCTGTCTCATCTTCCCATTCACTTCCCTTGCTTTATGTCAAATGCAAAGTTGATAAGAATTTTCTCTAAGCTACTCTTCAAGCCCCAGATGAAAAGTGGACTCTAAATCAGCTTACACAGGAAAACCACTTAGCATTTCTGCTCAAGCAGATCTGGCCTTCTATTCAGCAGTCTGTGGTAGCTTATCTAGGTCAGATAGAATGATAGTGGATAATTGGATTTTGGTACTGTGATGCTCTTGTATGTTATGAAGAAACCAACTGAATAGAAGTCCATGTCTCAAGAGTGAATCTTTGAATAGAATACAGTGTGTGAATATTCTATCAGCTTTTATCAGTGTATCAATAACAAATTTAATGAAAATTATGCTTTCATCAGGAACACTGATATTTTTCTGTGGTTGTTTTTAATAAGGCACAGTATTGCTGAATTCACTCTAAATAGCTGTGGATAGGAGACTCTTGACTTATTCATATGCTAGAATTCATATAACATAACACAGTATGCACATACAGAGTCATGCTATATTTAGCTCACATTTTCTTATGAACAACCCAATGAACATTCAGGAATTTTTCAACCATTTTGAAACCATGTATAGTCTAAAGTCTGCTGGGGTGAGCATGTTAATCCCCAAACCACTGACTAATACTACATTTCAGAGATCTTCGACTCGTCTACCAAAGCAAGTTCATCAGAAAACATCAGGAGTAGATAAAATGGATGAGCCAGATCTTTCTAATTCAGATTGAAATTTCACCCATTAAAACATCTTAAAAGTGGGGCTGGAGAGATGGCACAGTGGTTAAGAGCACTGGCTGCTTTTACAGAGGACCCAGGTAAGGTTCCCAGCACCCACACAGTGGCTAACAACAGCCCATAACTCCAGTTGATGCCTTCTTCTGGCTGCTACAGGCACTGCATGCACACGCTGCACCTATATACATGTAGGCAAAATACTCACACACATAAAAATATTTTTTAAAAAATCTCAAAACCATAGGACTGAGTAGAATAAAAGTGAATTTTGAAAGGACATTGTCATGTTGAATGGGAACCTATTTCCCCCTGAGTTTATTTTCCCTCTGGAAGGGACTAAATGTGAGTTACTCGTCCAGATATTTTCTCCTTCTTAGTAGGCAGAAATTACCCACTTTACGGCGGTGGTGAGAAAAAGGTGCTGGACATGCACCACACAGTGCTTTCCTGATTGTCTATTTGGGAGCCTGCCTGCCCCTAAAATAGCTCATTTTTCAGCTTTCCTACAAGCTGTGAAGGACACAAGTTCTATTATGTCAGTGGCATTTTATATCTTATGCATTTTTATCTTATGGTTCTTTTTTCATTTCTGATGTTCATATTTACATTTTGTCATATTTTATAGTACACATTTACTTTTTAATTTATAAAATGTATCTGAAAGAAATGTGATAAAATGCTGGATACACAAATGCCATATTATTTTCTTCATTATTTTTCTATGTTCAGAAATTAAATACTAATGGGGCTGAAGAAGTAGTTCAATAAAGAGCATTTGATGCTCTTGCAGAGGATCTGGGTTCAGTTCCCAGCACCCACATTGCAGTTTGCAACCTCCTGTAATTCTGGTTCCAGGGGATATGATGCCTTCTTCTGGCCTTTGCAATTACTGCATGCATGTGGTACACACACATACATGCAGGCAATTCATATACATAAAATGAAATATTTTTAAAAAGAAATTAAATATGAAGTATAGAAAAGTATATATTTAATAAATAAAAGTACGTAAAATTATAGATGATTAATATAGCTTTCTTTATATCAATGCAATATTTCTGACTAAGTTGGGTAATTACTAACATAATGCTGTATTTAAAATGAAATCAAAGTAATCAGTGTTTGAAGAGGCTTTATTGTACATCATTTCTACTTGTTAAGGTCTTTGCTAAAGATCATACAACTAGTGTTTGTGATTCTGGGGCATATCTTCTGAACACAAATCCTATTGCATTTTAAGGAACTTAGCAATACAATTAGAGCACATGGAATGAGAATGTCCATGATCATATTTGTAAATGACCAGAGTTTATAAGAAAAACAGTTTGGAATAATGGTAAAATTCAGATAAAGCCTTGGTGGCAGTTAATGCCCAGAGGCAGCAGAAGTCACCCAGATGTTCTGTTCTTCTATCAGTCTCCTCTCCTCCACATCTCCCTATACTTCTTTGTTCACTTTATTGTTTTACCTTATATAGTTCAAGCTCAACTACTCAATTCTGTATTCTCAGACTTGCTCTACAAATAAATTATCTGCACCTGGATGGGCAGCATGCATTTACACCCTCACCTCCATTTTTACCTTTAGTGATTCATGGCCAAAAAAGCAAACCAAAATGAATGGGACCCTCAATTCATAATATAGAAAAAGAAAATTCAGGATGGATCATCTGCTTAACTGTAAAACTATATCAAGCATAAATTCTTGGGGGGAAAGAACAAATCTTTGTGATATTGGAGTAGGCAGCAGATCCTTAGACACAGCACCAAAAGCACAAGCAGTAAAAGAAAAATATAGACAAATTGTATTTCATCAAAATGTAAAACTTTTGTGCTTCAAACAGGACATTATCCATGAAGTGAATTTTTCACCCACAGAATTGGAGAATATATTTGCAAACCATGTATTTAATAAGGAATTTGGATCTAGAGGATAAAAATGAATTCTTATAAGTCAACAATAAAAGGACAACCCAATTCAAAGACAGGGGAGGGATTTAAATAGATATTTCCCCAAAGATGATGCAAAAATGGCCACTAAAATCTGGTCGTGTTGGCACATGCCTTTAATCCCAGCACTTGGGGGGCTGAGGCAAGAGAATTGAAAGTTTGACATCACCCTAGTAACATGACTTTTCTCACCAAAACAAAACAAAACAAAAAGAGTCAAAACAAAGCAAAAAATTTCCATTTCACACCAACATCAACAAGCGCTTGGAAGGAGGGGAGAATGGAGAATCTTGATACATTACCATTGGGACTATAAAATAGTGTCGCTACTTTGGGAAATAATTAAATAATTCCTCAGAGTATCAAACATAGAGCTTACCACATGAGCTAATAATCAGCCTTACTATACCCAAGAGAATTAAAAACATGCCCATAACAAAACCACAAGTGAATTATATTAGCAGTATAATTTATTATAGCCAAAACCAAAACCTGGTAACCCACTGACATGGGACTTTAACAATAACTAATGCAGTCTTTCTTAGTTTTCCTATTTCAGCAGAAGTGAACAAAATGCAGAATATTGATGCCTAAAGGAAACTCATATTTAAAAGAAAGGCATAATTGCTATTAATTCTATGGAAAATTAATCACTGGTTAGAAGTGAAAATTTGAAAATAAGGGTCTTTGCAGGGTGTAGATCTGAGTATGTACCATCTATCAGAAATATATCAAGAAATTATCTGTATTTGACACTAAGCAAATTATCTTATTATAGAAGATATGCCATTGTGATAAATAACGGCTTCTAGGAGCAGCATTTCCCAGACCCGCAGGATGTCTCCCTAGCCTTTTAGCTTAGCGTTTTAAATTGGGCTTACAAAGTAGGAGGTTTTCACATGGCTTTTTCATAACTCTTCACTTTGATTATCCTCTTTCTACTTCCTCATCTCCTGTCCCCCAACCAGTCTTTCCATCCCCGTATTCTCTATCTCTACTTTCATATCACTTGTGCTCTCTTAGCCTCCCTCCCTTTAGACATCTCTCCTCCAATGACCCCTTTCTAGTTTCTTGACTTCTATAGTAGGTGCTCTAGGTTAAACATACAGGACTAAAGATTCAAAGCTAACATCCACATACAGGAGAGAACACACAGGATTTGCTTCCCTGAGCCTGGGTTACCTCACTCAGCATCATTTTTTTCTAGTTCTATCCATTTACCCACAAGTTTTATAATTTTATTTTTCTTTACAGTTGAATAAACAAACAAAAAATCTTAGTGCTGGGTATGAGCACTTATGAATGGTTGGTCAGGGAGACCCCAGAAATCCTGAAAACAATGCAGGCTATTGCCATTTATCTTTGTTAACCACCAGAACTAGTTGATAAGACCCTACTACTGAAGACACAACACACCTTGGTTACAGATACAAAGAAGCCAGCTGGAACTCAGCTGGAAACTTCCTGCCTACTGATTAGCGTTCTTAGGACCAGAAGGTGCAATCCAGGCTACTGGGGGAGATAAAGCATCATTAGTCTTACCTAGTTGTGAATCCTATGAACAAGAATGTTGACCTTCCTGGGAAGTGCACTAGTGGTCAAAGTTTTATGGGGATAACCAACCACTCTCAGATTGGATTTGAGGTCTCTTCAACAGGAGAGAGTACATGCCTAATAATCTCAATCTGGTCAAAACCCCATGGATGGAGAGGTCATAGATGCTAGGAGGGAACTCACTACAGTGGTTTAGAAAAATTGACACGGCATCAAACTATAGTCTAAATATTTGTGTTTATACATGTAGGCAAATGCCACTCTCATCTTTAATTGGAGAAGCTGCTCTTTGCAGTGAATGGTGATAAATGCAGACTCATGATTGCTCAAGATGTTCAGAACACATGATGACTGAATGCTCAGCCCTAAACGGGACATTTATACCATTTCCTCTAAGTCTCAGGGAACAGCAGGAGCAGAAAGAATAGGGAGAATGGTTGAGAAATGCTACCTTCAGGCCTGACACAACCACTGTAGACATGATCTCACAGCAGTTGCAGTTGTCTGCACTGGGCCTGCAGGAGACTGGGCCTTTCAAGGGTCAATCACAGATCAGGGAGGGGTCCCTGCCCTACACCTCCCTAAACTATTAGCAACTGACGTTTTCTGAGAGAAGATCAAGCATTGTTTTAAGCTATGTAACAGTGAGGCCACCCAGCAGTTCCAAACCCATGACCACACAAATAGTCCTGGCTAAAATCAGTGAATCACAAAACAAAGCAAAACAAAAACCATGAATGTGGGAAACATACCTGTAGGGAGGAGGGTGATAAAAGGGTGGAAAGGGGGTGGGAGTAAAAGAATGTAATGTAATATATATATATA